AAGTCTGCAGCTAATATTGCAAAAACATGTAGAAAGCGCCTACTATGCGCTAAAGCTGGGCTACCTGCGCAACTCTAGGGGTTGGCACTGAACCGGGCCAGCCCCCCTATCGAAAGGGAGTAGCAATCGGGGCGCTCCGCGGAGGAGTTCGCTCTCAGTGAGTGCCAGTGGGCGCCCGCTGTTACCTAAGCGCCTGGCAGAGGAGAGGCCACAAAGAGCCCCGGAGGGGGTCAGGGGGTGCCCTCTCCCGCACAGTCCCAACTGGACAAACGAAGACAGTGCTCCCCACGTCGTCCACGCGAGAAGGAAACCAGAGCGCTCTTGGAGTCCCTGGGGTTCCTTTTCCCTGAACCCCCTAGCTGGCGGCTCCTGCGGGCTTTTCCTCCGGCCCAGGTGCATTCTGTGTTCCTGCGTTTGTCTGGGCCTGTGTTTGTCCTGTGCGTTTGGGTGCCAGTGTTTGCCTTGGAGGAGGACAAGAGAAGAACAGGCAGGATACGATCTAATGCCTTCCTCCCTCTCGCGAGTCTCAGAGACACAGGGTTCCCAGGTTGCACATCCCAGGCCTCTGGACCTTTTGGGGAAGCACATTTTCATACATTACACCTGGTTTTACAAGGAAGGAAGGAAAAGAAAGAGAGAGATCTCACCCCACGCCCCATTGTACCTGGATAGTTCCATCTCAAGCCTTACTGACGACTGCCTCTGCTTCTCCGCTGGGGGAAGGGGAGAGCGAGCTTCACTGCACAGAGGCCTGGGATGTCTGCAGGCCGCTGGGCCAAGACTCCAATGACACCTGGGCGGCAGCTGCTTTTCCCTGCATCGGAACCACTTTTTCTGCAAGTGAGGAGGGAAACAGAAGTCCCCCAGCTCAGGGCCCTGCACACAGCACCAGTTACCAGAGCCTTGTAAGGAAGGGACATTGTTTGTGGTACTGAAATGGCCAAGGCTTGGAGGCTCCTAGCACTTCAAGTCTTAGAAACTTGACCCCCAGACCCACTGCCAGAGCACCTCTCTGATGCCCTGCTTCCTCCCCCAGCCCTCGCCCCCCCCCCACCCCCAGCCTGGAGTGAAACTGCTGGGTAGGGGCGGCAAACAGGCATGATCCGAATCTCCAAGGAGAAAAACAGCCTGCGTGGCCGGCTAATTCGGTGCGATTAGAAACTGTCCTGGAAACTTAAAGACTGAATTAGTCCTAACCCCGGCCTTCTAAACTCTCTGCTCCCTCCCCCTCCAAGAGGAACAAGCACATTCTTTTCTCTTTTTTTTCTTCAACAAAGTAGAAAATCAGAGAAAGTTAAACAACAACAACTATGAGAGCTATCTGGAGACGTGTGCATTTCCCCCTGAGTCACATCTGATGATGGTTGGCTTGATATGCATCTCAAATACCGGACAGGTAAAGCCAGATGATGACCTGAGCCTCCAAGAGAGGCGCCCTGCCCGGTGTGGGCTGCATGTCTTGGAAGCAAACCTGAAATTCGTTGAGCCCCCAGGTGCCACAGTGCACCAAAGGCTCCGGCTGTCCGTCGGGCTTACCCAGCCACCGCTTTCTAGCTCTGCAAACTCCTTGTTCATATTTATCCATTTCCCAGGCTCATTCCTGTGAAATTAAAATAAAAAGCCACAGTGCTGGAGCCCTTGTATTTTGATGGATGAACTTTTCAGGAAAAGGGGAAGCCATGTTCTCCTCCTGGTGTCCAGACAGGAAAAGAAATGCATGAGGCCAGGAATAGGAAAATGGTAGAGTTGAAAACAAAACAAAACAAAACAAACAAACTCCTGGTGCTGGAAGCCAGGGTGCCAAGCTGCCTGTGAATAGGAGAGATGCCCAGGGGGCAACTAGCCTGCCCA